AGAGAGAGAGAGAAAGAAAAAGAAAGAAAGAAAGAAAATAAATAAAATCTAAGTTTAAGATCTCTGCAAAATGTGAAGAGCTCAAAAGAACTCAAAACGATTGTTTACCTCTCTCCATTTTCTGGATATTCAGATGATAAAGCCAGATCTTCTGAATCACGATTACCAGGAGAAAACAGATTGCTATTGTTAAGGTTCTTCAAGACTAGCTTCTTAATGCTCTTCCTTTAAACAAAGATTAAAAAAAGTCAGGCATACACAGTTGTATTACACACATTATCTATAAAACTTGAGTACTTCAAAAGGGCACTCTTGTTCAACTTCATTTCTTTAAAAATGAGGGTCTCACTATATTGGCCAGGCTACCCTTGAATTCCTACCTCAGCCTTCTGAGTAAGCTAGGATTATTGTCATGTGCCACTATACCTGGCTTATTCAACACCTGCCCGCCCCCTGCTCCCCGACCTTGCCAGGCAGGTGCAGCACTGCTGAGCTACATCTCCAGGCCTTATTCAACTTTTATACATCTAAAAATGACCTAAAAGGGCTGGGGATTTAGCTCAGTGGTTTCACCACCTGCTTCGAAAGTGCAAGGATCTGAGTTCGATCCCCGGTACCAAAAAAATTTTAAAAATTAAAAAATAAATAAAAATGACCTAACAGGCCGGGGATTTAGCTCAGTGGTTCCGGCACCTGCCTTGCAGGCCTGAGTTTGATCCCTGGTACCAAAAAATAAAAATAAAAATGACCTAATAGATTTCATTTATAAATTCTTCCTAGAAATGTAGACTAGAACATAAAGCCTCAATACACTGGAAGAATAAGGCAAAGGATATTCACAAAATTGAAAATCCCCTTGAACATAGTCTTCCTCCTCTGAACCTCTTGAACAGTATCACAATAAACTCCCACTTGTTCTCAAAGCTTAACAAAAGACAATTAAAAACCCACTCTTTTTCTGATTAAAAAAAGTACTTTTTAAAAAAAATATAAAGCCAGTGACCTGGGCATAGTGGCACATGTCTGTAATCCCAGAACTCAGGAGACTGAGGCAGGAGGATCATCCTAAACTCAAGGCCAGTCTGCAGTACACAAGTACACAGTGAGTTCAAAGGCCAGCCTAAACTACAAAGTGAGACCCTGTTACAAAAACAAACAAACAAACAAACAAACAGTAGGTATCTACGTATCTGTCTAGCTATGTACTTATAAAATTCCAGAAATGAAATGCCCTGACATTCCCTTCTCCTGACATTAAATGTTAACTTTGACGTATAATTTTCTTCAGGGTTTTTTTTCCTATGTATATCTCAACATTCTAGAGAATGATACAAGTGTGATTTCTGATGTTTACTAAGCCTTCTACAAACTTTCCTGTATATTTTTCTGTGTAATGCTTAGGCAAGTGCTGTACTATTGAGCTAAATCCTTAGTTCCCTTACCATCTTGAGTTGTACCAAAATAGAAAGTGCTAATTTCTCAAAAACAAAATAAAAACATGCATACATAAAACTAAAGCACAAATATCGTTATGTTATCTGTGGTTATCCCTGAGTGATGAAAAAGTATTTTTAGCTTCTGTGATGTCTGTATTCTTCAAAATAAAAAGTAAGCTGTATTATATATGTACTAAATTTAAATAATTATATATTTGATTTGTATCAACATTTTATATTGAATTTAGATTAACAAAAACCAAACTCACTTGGGCATGAATGCCCCATTGGCTAGGGATGGTTCATCATCATCCAGCCCATCAAAGAGATGTGACTTGGTTGTGCCTGCTGTTTGTAAAGCCTTGGGCCGGACTCTGGTGGCAGGTCGGGGTGTCAGTTTATAATGAGTAGGTGTAGTAAGAGCCTTCTGAGCTGCTGGATTTGTTGGTTTCAATCTCTGAAAAAGAAAAGGAAAGTTCTTGTTTAATGTACGGCTCTGGCCTAAAATATCAGTGCAGGGTTCAAACCTAATCTCTGCCATTAACCTCCTAGATACTTCTTGAAGTCTCATCTCTCTTATAACAAAGATGTTGTCAGGCACGGTTGGTGCATGCCTGTAATCCCAGCACATTATGAGTTTGATTGAGGCTAGCCTGGGCTACTACATAGTGAGACCCAATCTCAAAAAAAAAAATTACTTTTCGAGGGCTGCACTATGCTACATCAAGCCGTCAATGTTTGTTTTCTTTGTTTTCATTACTTTTTCTTACCTGTCCCTCAGTAAGAAAGTCAGAAGTCTCTGCCAGCAATGAAGTAAAGATGCTATTTGTACCCACAGAGAGGCAGAATGAGCTTACATTTTGAATTCTGGGGTGACCTTGAACCCTACTTATAATCAGTATAATATCCTTGGACTCTACCACTTTGTGATGTGGGGACACATACAGGAATCCCAACATCTTGTGTTTCCGGAATACAAAGGGAGTTCAGCCATCTGTTCTTTAATGAATGAGCAAGGCCAGTGCCAATGGCCTCCCACAGAGGGTCCTCTGGGTGGGTCTGGGCTGAAGTTCCATGTTGCCGTAGGCCATGAGGAACCAGCTGTGACCTAGAGCTGGCACAATCAGAACTCAAAGCACGGGGATATGGCAGACCAGGGCACACAGTGGCCACCACTGGCTCTAGGCAATGCTTTGCTGCCACTGCTAAGCAGGGCAGAGACCCATATTCAGAGAACTTGTCCTGGACTACGTGGGACCTGCAGCTACAGACACAGTCCTACTATACAGGCCCACAGTTTGTACACTTCATAGGACTCATCTTTGGAGGCCCAGGTTGGGGTTTGCAGGACCGGTCTTCTTGGGGACTCTGACATAGCTTCATTATGGTCCAGAGACCATCTGGAGTGATGAGACCCAGGACACAGACTAGGAGATCTCTCATGGACAAGAGTTTGTGCTGGGGTTTGTCACTTCAGATTTACATTGTCTAAATTTGAGAGTCCACCTCGCAACTTATTCACTAACCTGCCATCTCTGCTTACTCATGAATGTTAAACATCAAAGTACGATGCTCTAACACTGCATACACTTTACTCGGAAACGACTAGAACTATGGCCACTTCTTTCTTAATCTCTTCTAAGAAAAGGAAAAAAAAAATACCTCTTCTTTTTTCTTGGGGTCTGACATGGGGTTCCGGAAGAGAGGAGAGTCTCCAAAAGGTGAATATGTCAGACTATTGAGATGCTGTTGGAGAACAGCCTGCTGGGCAGCAGAAGCATTTGGATCAGTCAAAGCTTTTCAAAAGAAGAAAAGGAAAAAAATGATGTCATTAAAGATCCAACACATTTATTGCAGAGAACTTAGCACTCTTTTGGGAGATGAGGTCTTCAAAATGTTCAGACTTGATGGGATTACTGTAGAAGGTGTGGAACAAACTGGAAAAAAATCATGAATTCAATAAACTAACCAATCAAAGATATGAAGAGCCATTTTCATAACAGATATTACACATGAAAATTCACTCACAAGCTGTTTACTGTCACTAATCCAGGAAACGCAAATTTAAAAAACTCGAAGAACTGTTTTATACATACCTCACTATTAGTGGTACAACTGTTCAAAAAGTTATACTCTGACCTCTAGGAACATTAAGAACTAATTGAATCTTTCTAAAAGAAACAATGATAGTACACAGAGCAAGTGCTACTTTTATTTTTTTTAACTTGTAATTTGAAACATGGACATTTAACCCAAGGACTTAAACTGAGAACAAAACAAATATTTCTATGTGTTCACTGTACATTATCTGTAATATTCAAAGTTTAGGCACACTTTATGTATCCTACATTAAGTTAATGGTTGTAAAAATCAGGCTATAGTAATACGGTGGGTTACGTAGTTAATAAAAAGTAGAGTGACTGTTTTACTGTAGAAATATGAAAACATCTTTGATTTAATAAATGAAAATCCAGAATAAAAAATGTGTTTTACAGGCTGTGGCTGTAGCTCAGTAGAACACTTGCCTAGCATGCATGAAGCCCTGGTTTCAATCACCAGCCCTGGCCGTGCTCTTCCCTTTTTTACATGCGGGATATAGGAAAGAGAAGGCAACACATAAACAATGAAAATGGCTGTTAAGCATTCTTGTATGTTTATTACTGACATTTAAAACCCATAATTAAATACAAACCCAAACGGAAAAAAACCCACCAAGTTGGTCTAATTTCCTCTCAAGGTATATGAACAAACACTTATCAGTCACAGAAAACTTAGGAAAAAAAACATCGGAGACTATATTCATAATTTATAACTGTACGAATCATAAAGAGAAAAAACCACCTGCTGTGTACTGTAATGAAGAAATCTCTTTCCACGAAAAAATAAATCTTTCTAAAATTACTGATCAAAACATGTATTACAACTCATTTTAAGATTTAAAAACTACTTTTTCCTCTTATGACCATTTAGAAATAGGCTAAAATAAAAAATATGGTAGATAATACACATTAAAGGAATGCTATAAACCAAAAACATTTTGAAAATTCTCTCAAATGGGAGGCCATGACAAAAGCAAGGGCAACAACAAAAACCAGAATAGATAAGTGTAATTAAGTTAATGAAAAACAAGTAGATTCTCCCTTAGTCCAACAAAGCTTTCTTAAAATTGGATGTATTCATTGAGTACTAAAACAATGTATCATACACACACACACACACACACACACACACACTCACATATCCACACACATTTTTAAAATGCAGTTCTGAGGATTGAATCCAGGGCCTTTATACTGAGCTACATCCCCAGCCTTTTAAAATTTTTTATTTTGAAACAGGATTTCGCTGAGTCACCCAGACTATGCTCCAACTGACAATCCTCTAGCCTCAGCCTCCCAAACTGCTAGGATTATAGACATGCACCACCACACCCAACTATATGTTGTTATTCATTTATTCACATTTTATTTTAACTAATTTGGTTTGAGGCAGTCTTACTATGTAGTCCAGGCTGACCTTTGCTAACCTTGAACTCCAGGCCATCCTCTTGCCTCAGCCTCTGAGGGCTGGGATTAAAGGAGTGCACCACCACGCCCACCTCCACATGTTATTTAAAAAGGTAGTACAAAGCCCAGCCTGGTGACACAAATCTAGCACTTGAGAGGATGAGGCAGGAAGACCACCATGAGGCTAGGCCAGCCTAGGCAGACTACATAGTACGTTCAAGGCCAGCCTGAACTACGTAGAGACCATGAAAGAGTTATTGCAAATTTGCTCAGGATTTTGTAGTCTAGAGATCAATTTAAAGAACATAAGAGTAGGGCGACGGGGATTTAGCTCAGTGGCACCATGCCTGCCTTGCAAGCACAAGGTCCTGAGTTCCTCCCGGTACCACAAAAAAAAAGAACACAGAGTAAGTCATCTTAATTCATGACATTCTTAACCCATTTCAGATTATAGAAAAGTGCTAGCAATACTGGCCCACACCTGCAATCTCAGCACTCTAGGAGGCTGAGGCAGGAAGATTGCTAGTTTGAGCCCAGCCTAGGCAATTTGATGAAAACCTGAACTTGATAAGACTGTCTCAAAATGATAAAAAAAATGATGGAGGAGTAGCTTGGTGCAAAGGCCCTGGGTTCAATCTCCAGTACCAAACAAACAAACAGAAAAAGTATTAGAGAATATTAGAAATGACATGCCATAGCATTATTCTGGGGACTATACAAGGAGAGTTAAGAAAAATCTTACAGAACTCTAATCTTTAGTAGTGACCGTATTTCTTGAGGTTTTTTTCCCCCCTCGGTACCAGAAATCAAACTCAGGACCTTGCACTTGCAAGGCAGGCGGGGTGCCACTGACCTAAATTCTTGGCCCAATCCTATTTCTTTTTTTTTTTTTGCTTTGTTTTTTTTTTGGTACCAGGGATCAAACTCAGGTCCTTGCGTTTGCCAGGCAGGCAGCAAAACCACTGAGCTAAATCCCCGGCCCCCCAATCCTATTTCTTGACTGTTTTTTATCCATTGAAAAAACTTTGACCTCCTGGAGATTTAGCTCAGTGGCACCACACCTGCCTTCCAAGTACAAGGTCCTGAGTTCGATCCCGGGTATCAAAAAAAAATTAAAAAGTAAAAAATAAATTAAAAAGTTAAAAAAATAAAATACTTTGACCTATAATTGGTGATCCCATCATTTAACAAGTATCAGCCACCCTACCTAAGCTTCCTCAAAAAAATGAAATCTTCTTTTAACAAACCCAAATACAATTAGAAAAGTGTATGAGCAAGTTTTATTTTTGAATTACAGATATAAAATCTTTTCTATGTTCACTGTATTATTAAAAGATATAGATGAGAGAGCTGATGGATTAGCAAAATTAAGAGAACAAACAAACATTAGTTAAGCTAATACTAGTGGTTTATTCAATTGTGGTCCTAACAATTTTGTCTTTTGGGTTTTATTTTGTTTTTTCTTGGTTTTTTTGAGGCACAGTCTTGCTATGTAGTTCAGGCTGGCCTCAAACTCATGGCGATCTCCTGCCTCAGCCTCTCAGATGCAGGGTTTACAGGCATGCGCCACTACACCCAGCAAGACAATTTTAAAAGATACCAAACAACTAAAATCATGACCAAATGATTAAAGGAATCAGGTAAAGCATAAAAATCAATCTAAAGAATCTGAACAATGGATTGGATTGCCTTGTAGGAAAGCCACCATAGGGCCAGGGATTTAGCTCAGTGGTTTCGCCGCCTGCTGCGCAAGTGCAAGGACCTGAGTTCAATCCCTGGTACCAAAAAAACAAAACAAAACAAAGAAAGCCAGCATAACTGAGGTTCAGACAAAAAAAATACTGGCCCACAGTATCAGTGGATTCACACAACCTCTAAAGCACCTTCCAATTAAGACTTTTTGATGCAAAAATGTAAAAGATATACACTCTAAAAGTCAATACAATTACTTTTAAATGGGCAGTAATATTCATTATGTACACCTGCAATATTAAATTCTTATATCAAGAATTTAAACTTAGTTCTTGAAAAAGATATATATGGATTGTTAAAATCCAGGCACAAAGCTATCCAAATAAAAAGGACTGGTTACGACGGCTATGCTACTTCCTATTGAAACCACCAAAGAAATAAAATATCATCTTTAATGATAAAGCTGATTCTGAAGTACATACAAAGATCAATTAGAATTCTCATTTACCTCCTCTCTCTCCAAAGAACTCATTAAAATGTATGGTTTTATCTATGTAAACTCACAATGACAAAGAATGAAAAAGGTGGGCGGGGATTTAGCTCAGTGGTTTCACCCGCCTGCTGTGCAAGGGCAAGGACCTGAGTTCAATCCCTCCTACCAAAAAAAAAGAATGAAGAAGGTAACAAATGAATAGATGAGAAAATACTACAAATTTCTGGGGGAAAGAAGTGAAAAAACAAGTGAAAAGGCAGGATAGAAGTAACTATCGCTCAGAATACACTCAAAGTTATATACAGTCAAATAGAGCATAACCACTTTGGAGAATCCCACAAGATTAAGGATTTAAGAATACCAGACTTGCTGCTTATAGTGGTGCATGCCTGTAATTCCAGGTACTTGGGAGGCTGAGGCAAGGATCACAAGTTTGAGCCCAGCCTGGGTAAGATCTTGTCTTTAAAAACAAAAAAAAGTTGGGGGGCCGGGGATTTAGCTCAGTGGTTCCACCACCTGCCTTGCAAGTGCAAGGACCCAAGTTCGATCCCCAGTACCAAAAAAAACCCCCCAAAACAAAACAAAACAAAAAAGGTGGGGTGGGGTGGGGAGGGTGCCCAGTGCACTGGCTCTAGATTCAAGTCTGAGTAATGTACAACAAACCCCTCAAAACAGATTTGGTGAAGTAAGACTGATAATAAGAGGAAGAATTAATGCAAAGTTTATTCACAAAACTAACCAGTGCCATTCTCTTAATTATCCTGATGCTCAGTAGCTTGAAAATATCAGTGTGTATTCCTCTGATGAAACTCAGTAAATACAAGGAAAGGACGAGCAAATGCTGAGAGTAACAGCATCATCCTAGACCTAACAATTTAGCCATCTAACATTGAGAGGACTTTCAGATAAAACCTGATTTCTAGACTACTTAGCTAAAATGAAACGTGTTGGTACCTAACCCCTACTCACAAACACACTGACAGGGAGTGTTTTTTTATTTTTTTATTTCATTCTTAAATATGAACAGAAAGAAACACGAAGCATCAGGGTCAACACAAAAATAATCCCAAAGGTTTAACAAATAGAGAAATCTAAAAAACTTTTTAATTACTATAAATTCAGCTTCAAGAAATACTGTATCTAAGAACTAGCTCTACAGGCCGGGGATTTAGCTCAGTGGTTCCATCACCTGCCTCTCAAGTGTAAGGACACGAGTTTGATCCCTGGTACCAAAAAAAAAAAAGAACTAGATCTTTGAAAAAATGGTAGAGAACAAGAAATAATTCCTATAAATTGTAATCCTGAAATAAATATTTACAACCTCCTGCAAAAAGAAACCTTCTAGAAAGTAGAAATAGTTGATACAAGGATTATCACACACACACACACACACACACACACACACACACACATATATATAGCAGTAAAATTTCAGGACAAAGGGATAACACTAGGACCGGGGATTTAACTCAGTGGCACTGTTCCTGCCTTGCAAGTGCAAGGTCCTGAGTTCAATCCATGGTACCACAAAAAAATAAAAATAAAAAAAGAGAAGAGACAAAAGGATAATCCAAAATGCTTTCAAAGGTGTGTGGAACAGGTCACACAAGAATTGGAAAGGGACTAGATCATCAGTAATGCTCACTGCAAGAAGGAATACAGTCAAAGTTCCAATGATAAATAAATCCTATATTGGAATTTTATAACATTAAATTGTAAGGAATGAATGAAGATATTTTCAAACCTGTTAAGTATTTCAAGTTTGCCTCTCATTTATAATTACTTACTGATATACTCCAGATAATTCAGGAAATAAAGAAGAGAAATCCTACATATAGTAGTTGTTATTGGGTAGACATAAAGGGAATAAATATCCTGGGGCAATGATGAAGGCTTTAGAAAATAACCACAGTTTTTACTGCTGCAGGAGAGCAGAGGAATCAGAAAAATGAGTATATGGGATGAATGAAGAATTCTGATATCATTCTTAGCAATCTGAAATAGTTAAGATGATGTGAGTTAATACAAGGCAAATAACTTCCAACTGTATGATAAAGGTGTACTAGGCTGGGTAGTGATATTTTTATGTTATTAAGCAAATGCTGGCCTCATTTGAACTTCATTAATCAAAGAACAAAAGATAGTTAACAGTTACAGAACAGATCTTACTAACTTTATCAATATAAAACTATAAAGACAGAGCTGGAGGCTGTGCATTTAGCTCAGTGGTTCTGCCGGCTGCCTGGCAAGCGCAAGGTTCCAAGTTCAATAACCGGTACCAAACAAAAAAACAAAAAAGATGGACCTGGGTACAGTGGTGCATGCCTTCAATCTCAGGACTGTGGGAGGCTGAGGCAAAAGGATCACATATTTGAGTGCTACCTGGTAACTTAGCAAGACACAGTCTCAAAGAATTAGGGGAAAAAAAAAGGTTGGGGGCATGTAGTTTAGTGTCGAGGCCCTGGGTTCAATCCCCAGTACTGGCACAAACAAACAAGAAATAAGGGAACGTGAAAGATAGGTTAAGGGCATTAATAGCCTCATTTCATAAAGGAGAGGCAAGAATACTATCACCTGTTGACAGAATAAGAAAAAACATGAAAGTACACAGCTTAAATCTGCAAAGGTTTCTAAAAATGTGGCACATGTATCATGATAAGAGAGATGAATTTAGTGTATAGAAACTACTTTTTTTCCTTCTAGCTAACTCATGTTGTAGTTATGCCAAGTCACACTAGTTTTTCATTTCCAAGAACATGATTTTCTTTAAAAACATTTCAGTAAAAAAAACCGTTAAGTTTCTTAAGTTAAAAATCAATAAAGGTGGGCCGAGGATTTAGCTCAGTGGTTCCACCGCCTAACTCGCAAGCACAAGGACCCGAGTTTGATCCCCAGTACCAAAAACAAAAACAAAAACCGCCCCCCAAAATCAATAAAGGTGATAGGATAGTGCAAAAAATAGGAAGGAATACTTAAATGAATGAAGTATGAAAACTGTTTCAGCAGATAAAACTAAGGAAATGTAGTAAACTTAGTAAACATTGGCAGAAGTAAAAAAGGTACAGGTGATAAGTGAGCTCATCTAGCATAACAAGTTAAATTTACATAGATTTAATTAAAAAAACATGGCAGCATAAGTACATCATTTAGCCATAAGAGCTTAATCACATTCCAGATGAATTAAAAACAGTAACAAAAGTGGCATCTTTGAGGAACCAGGGCTAGGAACGAGGAAACAAGAAGGCCAGGACCTCAGTTCTTCCATGCTACATGACTGTTTAATGACGTGCAGGCACATACTGCTTTGGTAGGGATCAAATGGGGTGAGTAGGAAAATCAACTCAGCACGTATTAGCAAGAAATAAATGGAGTAAAGCCTTCTAAAGTGACTGACACTTACCTACTGGGGCCTGGGGGGCGCCAAAGCCCAAAGTGGCTGTCGTAGTATTAAATCCAGGGGCCCCAAAGGCTCCTGTACCAAGAGGCCCTCCGATCTTAGGTTGGTTGTTCCCAAACAAAGATGCCTGTCCAGCACCAAGAGCTATGGAGACAAGAGGAAAGAAAAAGCGCCACAAAAGTTCCTTTGAATGTTTGCTAGAGGTCAGTTTCGTCAAAATATTATACATTTGGAAACTTCATAATGACCAGTCATTTCAACAAGAGGTAATAATATGGTAAATGCTAATTTTTCGTGCTTCAGTTTCCTCAACTATAACATGAGGTTATAGTACATAGCTTAAGATATTTATCCTAAGATTAAAAATGAATAAACATATATAAAGCATTTAGATGTCTGTACATACTAAATATGCTCATTCAATGTTAGCTAATACAACTGAGGTAGAAACTACCACCATTTTACAGGTGAGAAAACTGAGAGTTTATTAATGAACTCACAATTTGTATAAACAGTAGAAGTGCAGCGCATCTGCCAAGATAACCATCTCATGAAAACTGCTTTAACCAAATAAACCTGTTTAACAAAACACTAAATGTTTCGTGGTACTAAACAGATTCAAGTTTGAACCAGACTGGCTGGAATAAGAACTCATTTTCAACAAGGGAAACTCACTGCAGAAATTTATAATTTTTTAAAAAAATAAATCTGTAATTTTGGGACTGAATATATAGCTCACTGGTAACACTTGACCAAGCAAGGTCCTAGATGTGACCCCCAGAACAATAACAACAAAAAAGACAAAAACCAAATAAAGATAAATGCTTGGAGCCCAATAACACAGTATGGATGGGAATATGGGAACTGCTTTGAGAACACAAGCAAAGAGATGACAAGAAGTTTATACACAGAGAATCCATACAGTATAAATCAGTAAGGGCAACTACTGAAAGGATAAACTGCTCCCTGTAAAACCTTACCAAAAATAAGACCATGTAGTAATGCTCACTTTGGGGATAAGTCATAAGACTTCCTGTAAGCCCTAAACCATCAGTAATTAGTATAAGCTCCAAGAAATGCTAAAATTACATTACTCCCTGAAAAAGAAACAGTTCACAGCATAGATTTTAGGATTTTTTTAACCCTCTCCCCTCAAAAAACTTAGATGAAACCTAAATACATAAAAATGGAAAAAGAACTATGTGTTATATATATGTACCAACTCTCTGGGATGAATGTAATCATTATGTACTGCAAATATGTATAGGAGTGAAAATAAAAACTTAATAAAAAAACAAACTAACAAACAAAATGGATAAAATTTTTTGTTCTGGCTGGGCATGGTTATACCAACACTATAAAACCAGCACTCAGGGAGGCTGAGGCTGGAGGATCTCAACTTCAATCACAACTTGGGCAACTTGGTGAGACCCTGTCTCTAAATTTAAAAAAAATCCTGTTTGAATACCTATTTTTCTCATCTTTGCAGTCCTGAAAAAAGATGAAACAGTCTAAAAACCTGTATTTCAGTAACCCACAAAAGAATAAAAAAAGCATTGTGGGGTTTGAATGATCTGAAAAGGGACTTTCATAAAATGACCTGACCATAGACTGTTATAATTTATCAATGGAAAAATATTTTATCCAAATCTGCCTTATTTTATGTACAAATGGCACTTTGTGTCTAATGAAGAGACTTTGTCCACAACTTTAGAGACTGAGTGAGATGTTGTACATGATATGATAACGGGTATGGTAATGTCAATATATGAAAATGCACTGTATTTATAATTAGTTGTGGGAGTCATAAAGGAAGCCATACTGGGCAGCAAAAACGGTAATCGCAGTTTTAGAAATTCCAAGAACACTCAAGAAAAAAGTGAAATGGTTATGTTCCTTTTGAAATCTTCTAACAAATGTTACAATTTTATTTTTGGTATCTATTAGCTTTAAATAAAAGCTTTTTCTGTTTATTTCTTACTGTAAGAATCAATTTTACTAGATGTACCCATAAACTTACCAATGGAAAATGTTAATTAAAACTATACATAAAGTGGTGTATAATTGATAGTGTTCGTGACAGTTACTATTAACTGTAAAACAAGAAACTGATAAACCTAGGAGTTTATAAATGTTCCTTAGTTTGAACACATGTGGGTAAAAGTCACATGCCAGAGTCTACATAAAATCTCTTATACTAAGATTGGGTACTTAAATCTAAACATTTAAAAAGAGAAAATCCTTTTATATTTGTACATTTAATATTCATACAGCCAACTCATGAAATACTCAAAGGCTCACGTTACAGGAAAATTTACATCTGTTGAAGCATGAGTTTGAATCTCCATGACTCAAAACAAGAGGCTGCAGGGGAACACCCTAAGCTAATGCCCCCTCAATACAGTACAATGACAGTTTATCTGTGTTATTATGAAATGCAGAGTTTATAACATATTTTTATGTAATAATGTTGCAAAGCCACAAGTATACTTTAGCAGATGTGATCTATTGCTGTTAAGGTTGGGGGTATAAAATCCTTTATCGATTTAATTTGTCTGTTGAGTTCCTATGTATATGGGATGAATAAGGAATAATGTGCAGCAATAAAAATGTAACTTATAGGGGCCGGGGATTTAGCTCAGTGGTGCCGCCGCCTGCTTCGCAAGCACAAGGTCCCAAGTTCGATCCCTGGTACCAAAAAAAAAAAAAAGAACTAAAAATGTGGCTTATAGCTGGACGTGTTGGCACATGCTTGTAATCCCAGCTACTTGAGAGGATGTGGCAGGAAGATCCCAAGATCAACGTTAGTCTAGGCAATTTAGCAAGACAGTCTCAAAATAAAATTTTAAGAAGAGGTAGGTATATAGTCAGTGATAGAGCACTTGCCTAGTAGGCCCAAGGCCCTGGGTTCAATCCCCAGCACCACCAAAAGAAAAAAAAAAAACAGTGATTTGTTTTATGAGGGATAACTGTTCAAGAAATGTTGAATACATTAAAATAAAAACGTCAGGCTACTACAATATTGTGTAACAGAAAACAATGACGTCAGGGGAAAAAAGGAGCAGAGCCAGGTGTGATGGTGCATGCCTGTAATCCCAGCACTTGGGAGGCTCAGGCGAGTTCAAGGCCAGCCTAAACTATATAGTAAGACAAGACCGTGTCTTTAAAAAAAAAAAAAAAGGGGTATAGAATGTTTTATAATACTGTACTATAGAAGACATTGCTAATCATAACTTGCAAGAGCCAGAGGCTGAAGAGTAACCATAACCACATAAAAATAAAACTTGTACATGAAAAACTGTCTATGAACAAAATTAAATGATAACTAAAAACACTTAAGATTAGATAGGCCAAGCTCAGTAGTGCACTTCTGTAATATCAGCATCCTTTGAGATTAAGGCAGGAGGATTTCCAGTTTGAACCTTGCCCTCAAAATAAAAAATATGTAGCTTAGTGCAAAAGTCCTGGGATCAATACATGGTATCATAAAAGGGGAGGTATATAACTCAGTGCAAAGGGCCCTGGGGTTATTCTCCAGTATCACAAAGAGGGAAAAAAAAAAAGATGGGTGACTACAGCTTTTAACATAACATTTTTGACTTGATGATGCAAGAGTAATTAATAGTTATTCAATAGAAACTGTATTTTGAATTTTGTGCTTTATTCTCTTCCAGGGCTAATGTAAGTGGTATGATACTCTTGTGCAATGCCCAACTGTGGACTAATGAAAGGGTTCTAAGCCTGTACAAGACAGGCTATGCGAAGCTAACAATGAGCAGTAGGTTAACATATTAAACACATATTTGACTTTTAATATCTTCAGTTTACAATAGGCTTATCATAACCCCAATCTAAACTGAGAAGCATATGTTATCTCTAACACAGCAGCATAGCAGGTTTATAGTAATATCAAAACAATCCTTTAAAAAGCCCTCTTTAGTACCCTGACATAGCTCAGTGGCACCACACCTGCCTGGCAAGCACAGGGTCCTGAGTTCAATTCATGGTATTGGAAAAAAAAAAAAGTCCTCTTTAATTTTTTCCCCTTAACAAAACTATTCTTTTTTTTCTTCAGGGTAAGAAGCAAACACTGATGTAGTCTGCTTAGAGCTTTTAAATCTTATTTCTTGCAAAATTTATGTGGTAGAAATTGGGTAAGTTAAGCTCAGATGAAATTGTACCACATAAACAAAAAGAACTAACATCCCACAACACATAAGGCATTTCTAAAAAACTAAAATCAAATAAAAGTGCAGAACTGAAAGATTCAAATGTTTAATACACTTCCATAAAGATGCCCACTTTCCTAGCAATGAGAGAAGTGCAATTTCCATTACCAAAAGATGGAAAAAGGCCAACAAACCAGGTGCAGTGGTGCACTTCTGTAGTCCCAGCTACTTGGGAGGCTGAGAGGGGAGGGTCTCGTGAACCCAGGAGTTCAAGACCAGCCTGAGCAGCACAGTGAGGGCCCAAACTCAAAGGGGGGGGAAAAGTCCACTAGTATGGGAAATTGGGCACTTTTATACAGTGTGAACAACAATGCAAACTGGTACTCTTTTGAGAGAAAAAGTGAGCAAAATCAATATGCATACCTCCAGAAACAGTAATTCTAATTAGACTTGATTCCACAGTAACATACATGAAAAATTATATCACAAAGATCTTCAATGAGGGCTCTCCTAACAGCACCAAATAACTCAACTGTCCACCAATGGGAGAAAGTTAGAGAAAGTATATGCATGTGTGTATACATACACACAAATACTAAGCATTTTATTTTTTAAAAAAGAGATAGATCTATACACACTGACCAAAAAAAAAAAAAAGTAGCTAAGAAAATGTAAAACGAAAACATAAGTCATGGTATACTACGTAAGGCAGTTATTTTCAAACATTTTTTACTATAGCACATGATAGAAATACACTAAGAACATCGAAACATACATAACTGAATCAAAAATTTCATGAAAAGGATAGTAAACTTGCTGTGGACAATTTAATTCTACTTAATGCTCTTAAAATCCTGGTTGCAGCCCACTACAGTAATACTACAATGAATTACTCCACCTTGGCCTTTGTTTTTCAAAAAATCATTCATGCAGGACTGGGCATATGAGCAATGCAGTGGAGCACTTGCCTAGCATGTGTGAGGCCCTATGTTCAAAACTCAGTACCACCAAAAGAAAAAAAAAAAAACAATCATTCACATAGGGTACGGTTATCATTAAGAATATAGCCAAAAGGGCTGGCCAGGGATTTAACTCAATGGTACTGTTGCCTGCCTCACAAGCGCAAGGTCCTGAGTTTGATCACCAGTACCAAAAAAAAAACAACCAATATAGCCAAAACTCTCTCTAGATAAACACATATGTATAAATATTTATGTGTAAGCATGTTTGAAAAATGCACAGAAAGGTATCTGACAAGATTTGTGCCGAAATTTCAGCAGCTGGTATTTCATAGCTGAAACCCTTGGAAACCCTTGTATTTTGGAATTCTTAAAACTTTACCGGCACCTCTAACTTTTATTTTAAAAAGAAAATCAAAGTAACATTTCATAGTATAAAAGGAGCTTCAATTACAGAGATGACAAAGGAATGATGAGATCACAGAAGCAAAGAAAACATAACCAAACACTAGAAGCAGAGATCACAGAAACAGTTTGCAACTAAGTGACCACACGGTCATATGAACTGGGAAAAGTAGGCAGACTATATGGCTAACCAATCTTGTTTAACTGTACGTGCTTTAGCACTTATCCATTTTATGATCACAACCTCCCCATTTCATGATCCTCAAATGCACTGAAAAATAACTGACAGTAAGAATAGGGAAAAAAAGGGTGATATCCAAGATCTCTAATCACAGTAGAAAGGACTGAAAGATATGTACAGACCTTGTAAAACGCAAACTATTTTAAAATTATTTTTAAAGATAAAAGTGCCAATGTTTGCTGGGTAATGATGCATGCTTGTAATCCCAGCTACTAGACAGATTGAGGCAGACGGATGGAAAATTCAAGCCCAACCTGGGCAATTTAGTGAGATTCTGTTTCCAAATAAAAAATAAAACGGGCTGGGACTGTAGCTCAGTGGTGTAGCACCCCTGGGTTAAATCCCCAATACCACAAATAATAACAACAATAATAATAATACCACAATTAAAAACTATGCCAATGGTTTGGGACCTGGTACAACATTACCTACTGCAAATGTTTTACAAATCCATTTGCAAAAATGAAAACACAGGCCTTTAATTTCCAGGCACATAATCAAATGGAACTTTTTAAGTTTCAGCAATCTAAAAACAAAGTTGTATTATTTCCTAAAACTTGTGGTAGCATTTCCTTACCTGTTCCAAATCCTGTGCCAAGCCCAGTTCCCAGAGCCCCAGGCGCTGGTTTACTTCCAAAAATACTATTCCCACTGGTATTTGTGCCAAAACCTGAAAGGACAAAAGAATGAGTGGACTGTACTTTTAACACACTCTCAAATTTCTCTACAAGGGAATTTAATCCAAAGCAGTCTGACTTAAAGCTCTGTATCCTTTCAATTATTAATATTTAGGGATCTTAAATTACAGGCTAATAATTATTTCTCAAAATCTGACACCTGCAAGCAAATTTACATATTTATTTCATTACATTTCTTCCTTGAACGATCAATTCATTATAGGATAATAACCAACTTTAAAACAAAATGAATGTTGCCTGAGGTTTGAGAACATTCCCTTTAAAACGCCCAAAATATCCAAAGCAGATGTTTCAGAATACTTATAGGAAGAGAAACTCATTGCCCCAAACTTTCACTAAAAATAAGACAGTCAACAAATAAAGACACATTAGTGAACTTAAAAGGTTCTTCCTAAGAAAGATACCTATAAAAATCTCTATAGCAGCTTGTTTTAAACAGGTGGACCTGGTATGGGTAGTTATGTGTGGCTGATGGCACTTAAGCAACCCTAAAGAACATTCAAGGACTCAGCTACCTTTAATTGAAAAGAGAAGATAACCTACAAAGAACTTATCTTGAATTGAACAATTTGAACAATTTCTTCATTATCAGAGATGATGGAGTTGAGCATGACTTACTCTTTCACTATGACTTTTTTAGAGAAAAATCTTGTAATTACCCTTTACTAAACAAAGATACCTACACTGCATTGCTATTACTTTTTTGTTTGTTGTTTAGATATACTCAAAGTTTCAATATTCCTTTTGAGCTACATATCAACAAAACAACTAGTGTATGTATCATTAATCCCTCATGAAAAGAGGGGAGAAAAATCTGTAAATCAAAATAAGCCTCTCCTCTTTTAAGAAAAATTCAATAACTGATCAAAAATCCTGTTTATAAAACACTTCAAATCGTTCAAAAAACTTACCATAGATGGAAATAAGTACAAAAGAAAACAAAGAGAGCAGAAAGATTATTTTAGAATAGATAACAGCATCATTAACTAAGAATATGCTTTATCATGCTATTGTTTCAATTACTGTATCAATGAAAAAAATCAAAAAAATTGAAGGCCAAAAAGTTTGAAAACAAGCTTATTTCATGTGATTTTAAAGTTTAAGCAAGTGATGTGACTTAATCTCAACACATCTGTTAAGTCTTTTCTTGATTGGTGATTAATAGCTACATCACAAAAGTGGAGGCCTGCCTACTCAAGCACAATCAAGCTTTTTAAAGAAAAAAAAACAGAAGGCCAGGCATGGTGGTACAGGCCTGTAATCCCAGCACTCAGGAGGCTGAGGCAGGACTGCTGTGAGTTTGAGGCCAGCCTCAGCCACACAATGAGCTCAAGGCCAGCCTGAATTACACAGAGAGACCCTGTCTCAAAAAATAAACAAAGAAAAAGAAAAAAATAGAAAATGTAGTTGGCTTTTTTCTTTTTGAATTAATTCTTAACCAGAAAGGATCTCATAGCCCTAGAGAGCAGAAAACAAGATACTGATGAACTACCTCCAACCCACAGGAGGGAAGTAAGACCCAACTTACACTGTTTATACCACACATTTCCTCCGATTCTCACTGACAAGTTTATCAACTCTTTGAAAATAATTTTACAAATTAATAATAAAATCCAAATCCAGGAAGCAAGTTAGTGGGATAAGACATATAAAAAGATAATACCTTTAATTTTCAAATCAGTAAACATGAATATGAATACATTCATACAACAAAAATCTTCCAAACAAATCAGAAATATGCAAAAATGGAATAGAATCAAATATCTTTAACAAGAGCAGCCTGTTTTGTGGCCGACAGCCTATGCAAACACCGTTAGATATGGTAACATTTTATCTTCAATATGAAGTGTTCCGCAAATAAAGTTATTATTAACACATGCATTTCCAAAGGGATTGGTTAAGAGGCCAAAATGTCACAGATTACAGTAATTTATACTATGGCCTGCCAAAGGCCTGCAGAACATAAAACACATGAAAATATAAAATACAGACAGAGTATATGTATTAAATTTTCATTATGATTAGCTGGGTATGGTAGTATGCACCTGTAGTCCCAGCTACTCAGGAAGAATCACTGCCTGAGCCCAGGAGTTCAAGGCCAGCCTGGGAAAGATAGCAAGATCCTGTCTCAAGAAAGAAAGAAAGAAAAAAAAAAAGGTTCAGATAATTAAGAAAATAGGTATACAAAGGCTTCTTGAGGAAGAGGTTGTAATAATGATTTTTAAAAATAATAATAAGCCAGCCAATTACAGACTAAAACTTCTACAAATGGTCAGCCAAACTAAACCTTTCCTTTAAAAAAAAAAATTAATAATAAAATAAAGATGAGAAACACTGATCTCACTCTCAGGTATCTTTTCTTTCCAGGTTTTATAAGAAATAGAGAAACTAGATATTTTATACTTGCTAACAAGTCCAATGCCTCAAAGCTGTTCTTTCAAATAGAGTACAATGAAAAAGAATTCATGGGGGCGGGGAATTTACCTAAGTGGCACCATGCCTGCCTCATAAGCACAAGGTCCTGAGTTCAATCCCCGGTACCAAAAAAAAAAAAAAAAAGAATTCATGGAACTATATGTGATCATTACTAGTAGTTAGTAAACAATATAAATAAAAAGACATAGATATTAAATCAAATACAGAAATTTAGGCACTGGTGCTTGACAAGTATTTTACCTTTTTAATATAGTTCATTTTTCTGTAAAAATCTTAACTTTCCAATGGATGCTTAAAAGTCTTTTTCTTTTCTTTTTTTTTGGTACTGGGGATCGAACTTGGGACCTTGTGCTTGCAAGGCAGGTGCCAGAACCACTGAGCTAAATCCCCAGCCCCAAAACAGTCTCTTTTTCTAGGACACTTCATGATCATTTATTACTAACTAAACAGGCTAAAGATGTAGTTCAGCGGTAGAAAGTTTGACCTACTTTGCATGAGGGCCTGGATTTGATCCCTATCATCGCAAAAAATAAAGACAACAAATCCTCACTGAAGAACTGTTTAACTGCTAACCTACTCCAATAATGTCTTTCTGCTCATCTCCCAAAAAAGAATTAATCAGTACTTAGTAATGTAGCTGGCAAATGAAATCTTCAACAAGTATCTGAACTAGTATTTCCTTTGTCCATACTGAACTTTGCACATCTTATACAAATAACGTATTTGTTCAAAAACTTATTAGGGGCAGGGATTTAGCTGAGTGGTGCCGCCACCTGTCTCACCAGCACAAGGTCCTGAGTTTGATCTCTGGTACCAAAAAAACAAAACAAAACAAAACAACCAACTTAGTTAGGTAGTTATAGATGACACTGATAATAATATGCTATTTCCATCAGACTGATTTCAATTTTTCCAGCACATTTCTGAAGAGAAGTTAGGATTTTTTGTACTTTAAACATTGTTCAATCTCATCTATATTTTCTGAATGTTTTACAAAAATAAACTACTGAATAATCTCTCAAATTAGAAATGTTTCTACTTTCCAAAACACTAGTCTAATCCCCTATCTACACTGCACTTCCATGTTTGAAACCTGGCCTAATAGAATGTGTTATTTTGCACACCTGTAATCCCAGGATCAGCAGGCTGAGGCAGGAGGATCGCTGCAAGTTCGAGGCCCACCTAGGCTGCACAGCGAGTTAAGAACAGCCTGAACTGCCTAGTTATACCGACTCAAAAACAAAAACAAAATGTGTTTCTTGTATGGTTCCTCAGCTACTGGTGAAGGAATTTAAAAAAGAAAAAGCTAATTTACATCTTTACTAAATATCTCAACTCTTGTCCGTAACTTTAAAACCTTTCCCTCTGGTTCCTTACATCAAGTCACAGCTTACCTGGGAATTTTTAAATACTTTCAATCATATGAATCAGGAGGATGATGTGTGGTATAGTCAGTGTAACTTAAGAGAGTCAAATCTGCTTTTTATATGTACCAAAATTGGAAGTGTTTGTATTGGTTCCTAAAGTCAGGGTTGGTTTGTTACCAAAGAGCCCGCCACTGGTTGTACCAAATGAAGGAGCACTGGTTGTGCTGGTTCCAAACGTAGTAAGCTTGTTATTGCCAAACAGGGTCTGAAAAGAACAGAAAATACAGGCAATAAAGAAACATACCAAACAGTCAATAAAGGCTACTGTGGGTACAATGTATAGAATGTAGGATGGTGAAAAAGATGCTGCAATTTTTATAAAGAGAAGGCACATAAATAAAGGATACCAGAAAGAAAATACTCTGAGCAAGACTCTAAACAGAGAATATTCCTAGCCTGAAAAGTTACTGTAAAAACCTCAATAAACTAAGATTGTTCAGTAAGGCAAAGGAAAAAATAACAAGATGATCAAATTTTTTTTTTCCTGTTAACAGAAATGTGTCAGATATTTAACTGACCAAGAGAATCAGTTACAATAAAAAATTTAAACAGGCTGTAACACGATGAACGTTGAAAACACTATGCTGGCCAGGCATGGTGCACAAGGCTGTAATCTCAGCATTCTGGGAAGATCCAAAGTTTGAGCCTGGCCTGGGCAACCAAGAGATTTAACAAAACCCTGCCTCAAAACATAAATCAAAAAGGGCCGGGGATTTAGCTCAGTGGTGCTGCACCTGTCTGGCAAGTGCAAGATCCTGAGTTCCATCCTCCCTACGGGAGGTAAGGTGGGGGAAGGAATATATATATATATATAAAGGGCTAGGAATTAAACTCAGCACAAAGATCCTTGGGTTCAACCCCTCTTACTACACTCAAAGAAATATCTAGAATGTCAAATCCATGGAGACACAAAGTAGGCCTGAGGTTACTCCAGGAAAACTGGGAATGACTGTGACCGAGTATATACGGTTGTGCTTTCTGACAAGATAACTATGTCCTAAAACTAAATGTGATGATCGCTGCAAACTGTGAATATACAAAACAAACAAAAAACAAAACACCCTGAATTGCATGCTTTTATATAAAGAGAGGAATTGAATGATATGTGGATTATATATCAGTAAAGCTGCTATTAAAGGTGCAAGGGCTTTCTGAACTATTAATTTACTCAACTTCTCACAACAATTATATGCTCAAATGATGTTAATAAAAAAAATTCGATCTCCATGAAAATAGGACCATGTTTTGGGGATTCTTTCTTTCATATAAGTACCCATAATAACCAAAAGTTCAAAGCTTATCATGAGTAAGTAACAGAGTATTTCACATTAATTCTCATAAAACTTTTTTAATGTTAATATAGAATTCAGCATTGATTTTAGGTCTAGTGCATCCCCAATTAGTAATTTTTACTTAAGTGACCTAACAAGGAATCTAATTTAGTTAAAACTCCAGCTCCACAAGGACCAAGGGGAGGGGATTTAGCTCAGTGGTTTCGCTGCCTGCTGCGTAAGTGCAAGGACCCGAGTTCGATCCCCAGTACCAAAAACAAAATAAAAAAAAAAAAGGACCATAAGAACCCCCAAAATTCTAGCCATTTGATCAACATCAAAAACATTTAATTTCAGGTGGAGGCAAGAGGCTTACAAGTTTGAGCTCAATCTAAGCAACTTAGCAAGTCCCTGTCTCAAAATTTAAAAATTCAATTTCAAATGCTATAACAAAACCCTGATGAGAGGTAAAAATTATCTGACTTAAAAAACATGAAAGTATTGCAATTAAGCCTCAGAAATTTAAACTAACAAAATGAATTTCACAATGAATACATACTTTAAGACTTTATGCTATGCACAAAAACATAAAATGCTGGGCCAGGGATTTAGCTCAGTGGTTCCACCGCCTGCCTCACAAGCCCAAGGACCCAAGTTCGATCTCTGGTACCAAAAAAGAAAAAAACAAACCTCATAAAATGCTATTTGCTAGTTCAAAAACAAATTAAGGGGGTATGCTGGTGTATCCCTGTAATCCTCACACTCTAGGAAGGTGAGGCAGGAGGACGGCAAATTTGAGCCCATCTCATGCAATTTATAAATTTAGAGAGACCCTGACTCAAAAACAAAATAGTGTGGAAAACAGCTCTATCTAAAGGTGCTGGGTTCAATTCCCAGTATAAATCAATCAATCAAATAATAATTTTAAAATTTAAAAAACAAAAACAAAAAATGAAGTAGAGGGATACTGTGCTAGTAGAAGTAAATTGCAAAGCCAGGCATGGTGGCACATGCCTGTACTCCCAGTACTTAGGAGGCTGAAGCAAGAGGATGGCTATGAGTTCAAGGCCAGCCCGGCTACATAGTGAGTCCTACACCAGTCTGAACAATGAGACCCTATCTTTTTTAAAACTTTTAAAAAGTAAACTTTAAATAGTCACTGAGACAAAGAGAATTTACTAACTGAAAACAAAACTACTGGGCCAGGTGTGGTGGCGCACACTTGTAATCCCACCATTTAGGAGGCTGAGGCAGGAGGATTGCTGTGAGTTTGTGACCAGCCTGGGCTACATAGTAAGACCTTGTCTGAAAAAAAACAAAGCAAAAACAAAAGAAAGAAAATAAAACTACAGGGCCGGGGATTTAGCTCAGTGGTTTTGCCGCCTACTGCGCAAGTAAAAAAACCCGAGTTCAATTCCCAGTACCAAAAAAAAAAACAAAAACAGAAAATAAAACTACTGAAATGAATTAGTAACTTCATTTTCTATCTTTCATTTGCTCTTAATGTCAAATCATATAGGATACTCATTAAAATACTTGGAAGACAGTGATATCTTTCTTATAAACTCCTTTGGCAGATTTGTTAACATCTTGTAAACACCTACCGAACCAACTGCACCAAACCCAGTACTGGGCTGCCCAAAGAGACCTGTTCCTGTTCCAAATGCTGTCCCAGTGCTGGTGTTTGTAGCTGTCCCAAAAAGACTTCCAGGCTGCGAGGCTTGAGTTACGCCAAATAAACCCTGCAAGAAGGAATTCAGATTAAAAGATATTCCATAAATTCCCTTAAAGAGTCTAGGATTAACAAAAATAGTTACCAACTTTTTAAAGCTTATGTGACAGAGATTATGCTAATATGGAGCATTTTACAACTCTGAAAAGCAAGGAGTATAGCAGATCACTTTCCAAAAGAACAGAAAAATGAGAGAAATTAAAAACTTGCCAGGGCCGGGGATGTAGCTCAGTGGCCCAGCACCTCCCTGGCAAGCGTGAACCCCTGAGTTCAATTCCCAGTACCAAAAAAAACCCCACCAACTTCCCCAAGATGTCACAGTTTCTAAGTGCAGGACCATAAATTCAAACCTACAGTAAAGCCCCTGTTGTTTCCACAATGCTGACCTCCAAAGTGCTGGGCATCTAGTAAAACTTAGATTAACTCTTGTCCTCTAAGAAATGCCAAGGTTGCCATAATGAAAGCAAAATGTTACATGACAGGGTACTTTATTTCAAAGAGTTAGGCCAAAAGAACTAATCACTAGTGAATGAGGAGTGGAATTTGAATCAAATAACTACAAATAATTCACTGAAAGTAAGTCAATACAGTGGCAATAACATACTGTTATTCCCTTTATTCCCTCTCCCCTCTTTTATTTATTGCTGGAAACAGAATCCAGGGCACTGTGCATGCTAGACAAGCATTGTGTGACTGACCCATATTCCCAGCCCTGGGTTATTTCCACATTTTAGCCATTATGAGTAAAGCTATTATGACCGTTTGTGTGCAAGTCTGTGTTTTCATTTCTCTTGGGTAAATACGAAGATGTACAATTGCTGGATCCTATGGTTAACTCTATAGTTAAAAATTTTTTTTGGTACTGGGGATCAAGCTCAGGTCCTTGCACTTACAAGACAGGTGAGGTGCCACTAAGCTAAATCCCCGGCACTATAGTTAAAATTTCGAGGCACTATTAAATTGTTTCCCACAGAAGTTAAACATCACTGTACATTTCACCAGCAATGCATGAGATGTTCAGCATCTCCTTCATCACTGCTTACTACTGTCTCTTTCATTTTAGCTTTCCAAGTGGGTATGAAGTAGTATCTTATGATTATGATGTGCACTTCTGTGATGACCAATGACACTGAAGATCTTGTTATGTGCTTATTAGCTATTATATATTTTCTCTATTCTGGCCCTCTTATTTTCTTAGTGAATTCTAAGAGTTCTTTATATATTTTGGATACAAGTCCCATTTAAGGTACTATATACTTTGCAAATATCTTCTCCCATTTGAGAGTTTTCTTTTCACTTTGTTAGTGATATTCCTTTGACACACACAAAACTTTTTAGTTTTTTATTAAAGGTTTTTATTTGGTGGGGGGTGTTGGGGATTGAACTCATGTTAAGCATATAAACTGAGTATATATTCTCCACCACTGAGTTATACCCCAATCCAAGTTTTCAAATCTTTTTGGCTGTACAGGGGTTTGAACCAAGGGCCTCATGCATGCTAGGAAAGTTCTGTGTGTACACAGATATATGTATTTATTTATAGACAGGGTCTCTTCATGTGATTTAGGCTGCCCTTGAAATCACTATGTAGCCCAGGCTGACCTGGAACTCATGGAGTAGATCCTTCTACCTCAGCTTCCTGAGTGCTGAGATTATAGGCTCGTGACATCATACCTAGCCTAAATTTTTAATTTTGATGAAGCTTAACTTTTCTACTTTTTCTTCTGCTCTTGCATCATCCTAAGAAACTACTGCCTGACTCCTTTTGAACATTTAACAGTATACCCCTAGGCCTGGGGATTTAGCTCAGTGGTTCCGCCACCTGCCTCCCAAGTACACGGTCCTGAACTCAATCCCTGGTACAAAAAAAAAAAAAAATCAAAAAAAGAGTTTACCCCAAGCGTTAGAGGCAGCAAGTTTATTTACATATTGACTATCCTGAGTGTCACTTGGGCAGGTGTCATTTCAAGCAGTCAATTCTTGTACTGAATAAATTTGATAAAATTGTTTTTATATTTCCTGTTATATTATCTTATAAAAATTAACAAAGGAGCAATTCACTTTTGGATTTTCTCTACTCATCCAGACTAGTTGTTTGTCATCTCTCTCTTCCTTCTTCCCCATTTTCAAATAGTCTTCATTCATTTAAAAAAAAAAAAAAGAGCTGGGGATTTAGCTCAGTGGTTCTGCCCACCTGCCTCAAAAGCACAAGGACCGGAATTTGATCCCTGGTACCAAAAAAAAAAAAAAAAAAAATTTAGGACCAGGGATTTAGCTCTGTGGTTCCGTCGCCTGCCTTGCAAGCATAAGGTCTCGAGTTCAATCCCCAGTACCCAAAAAACAAAAATAAATTTAAAATATGCAATTTTTTGTCATCTTGTATTTAAATTATTGGACTGGTAAGTGGTTAAGAGTTTTCTAATTTTAGCTCTTGCTTTTGGGAATTTGATCCACCTTCACTTTCTGCATAGAAGTACTAATTATCTAATCTGGCTCTGAGGTTTAAGTCTACCCACCCCAATCCCTGACTAAATTTTGACCTGACCCTACACTATGGAACAAGCTGAAAGAACATGAAATACAGTTAAGTAATCAATACATGTTTTCTCCTAAACCCTACAAAATGGCTAGAGTCAATATCACAAGGTATAACTTAAAAATAGCCAACTGTACCCAGGGATGCAGCTCAGTGGCGCAACACCTGCCTGGCAAGTGCAAGGCCCTGAGCTCAATTCCCAGTACCAAAAAAAGAAAAAGAAAAAAAAATCACAAAAATAGCCAACTGTAATCCATTAAGTAAGCTATAGAATAATAAGAAAAATACAGTCAGAAAGAATAAATGGCCTGCTCAAAGATCCTCCATAAGTAAAGAGTACAGGTTAGGCTGGTCAAAAATTGTTTCTTCTCTTATCTAAATAGCAACTCAGAGAACTACAGAACAGGTAGAACTTGCTAGTACGACATGATTAGAAGCCTTGTAACTTAGCTCTCCAAATAAGACCTGGAGTTGAATCCCAGTCTGCTTCCTTACCATGGTGTTAGTGCTTGGCTGTCCAAGAGTGCTGGTATTACCAAAGGAAAAGCCAGTGTTCGGAGTGGTTGTAGCCTGGCCAAATGGTTTGCTAAAGAGGCTGGTAGTCTGCTGATTTGGTTGGCCAAAGAGGCCACCTGGGGTTGTTCCAAATCCAGTAGTACCTGAAAAAGAAAAAAAAAGGAAAAATAAGTGAAGGAAAAAAAAACTCCTAAATACAAAAATTTGAAACCTCATATTGTCCAATATCCAGCAATAGCCCTCTGTTACCTACTAACATCTAAATTGCCCTACATGCATTTGCTATTCAATAACCCTTTCATTTTCATTTTGTTTTTGAGACAGGGTCTCCCTTTCAAGCTGGCCTGGAACTCGCCATCCTCCTGCCTCAACCACCTGAATGCTGTGATTACCTCCACACCCAGCAACCCTTTCATTTGTTATCCTTCAACTAACACCAGATTACATTAAAATTTTAATTTCTACAATACCTTTACCCCAAGAACACTGACTAGACTAAATGATCTTCTTTTGTGGGCCCATAGCTTCTATTTTTAAAGATAATATACTTAACGCTTGTGTTGTATTTTAACCTTGTTAAAATTCTTGAGAACAAAGGTTTTCTTCTTTGTATCAATATACCCAGCACTGGATCTGACATATAATATTCAAAAATGAATATGAGCTAAGCTAAATGACAGAACACCCAGGAAAAAAAATTAGAAAAAAAAAAAAAAAGAACACTCAGACTGAAAAGAATATTAAATGTCACTTACATAAAGGAGTGTGTATACATGATATATGTCTTTCTATAGAAGGAAAAATTGTAACTTTTGCTTGTCTCTACAGAAGCAAACTGGTAGCCAGGGGAGGGGTTTAGGGAAAGAGACCTCTGGTTATACATGTTCTATTTGTGAACTTTGTATTTAGATGTGTACTAGTTTATAAACATTTTGTGCTGGGGAAGGGTACCCAGGGCCTTCACACTGACCTATACCTCCCCCAAATCTTTTTTTTTTTTTTTTTTTAAACTGAGACAAGGTCTTGCTAAGTCACTTAAGTTGCCCAGGCTGAGTTTAAACTTCCAATCCTTCTGCCTCAGCCCCCTGTGAGAGTGAAAGGAATACAGGCATGTGCCACTACACCCAGCTTAGAGAAGTAATATTTTAATAAAGTAATTTAGTAATCATCCCAATCTCTTCTTTCACATCCCACTTTAAATCAACCCAGTTTCATAATCAAACTAGGTCCAGAATCTGACTTTTTTCTTTTCTTTTAGAACTAAGGATCAAACCTAGAGCCTCACACATGCCAGTCGTATACCTATCCCTGAGTTATCCTTGTGCCCAGAGGCACAGACATTCTTTTAAACCATCCTTATCCAAGCCACCGTCATGTCAAGTAGCGGGAGTAGGGCAAAATCTTTTGAACTAATTTATTTATACCTATAACCCTCACAGTACAATCTACTCTCAACACAGCATCTTCAGGATGATCCCTCACTCATAACCACATGACTTCTCTTTTGAAACATCTCTTAATGGCTTCCAAATTAAACAGTAATTCAAGTCTCTATATTGGCCATAAAGTCCTAAACATATAGCCATATCTCCCAAAATTCTCAACTCAGGGTTTAAAGATTCAGTTTCTGCTAACTGAAGTATTTTCCCCCAGAAACCCGTAAAGCTTGCTCTTTCAACTTCCTTAGGTCACTGCTCAAATGTTACCTTCAAGTAAAGCCTCCCTTAGCCATCTTCACTTAAAACTCTATTTCTCCCACCTCTATACACCTGGCATTCCCTCTTCCTCAGTATCCCTGAATTCTTTTTCATATCACTAATCACAAAATGACAATTATATTTTACTTTCAGTTGTCTGTTTTTCCTTAATATGGTCCAATATGATGTCAAGTGCTTACTAGTTCCAAAAGCAGTTTTGTTCTGACCATATGCAAAGCCTGAATTAGTAGTAGAGGAGCTGAAGAGTCCTGTTGTACTGGACGTGGCTGGAGAAGACCCAAACAAGCCAGTCGTTGTACCTGCTCCCACCTGGTTCTGTGGCCCTTTCCGGTTAGCCTGGTAGTCCTCTAAACGAAGTTCCTAAAGGAAGTGCAAACATACTTCCAATATTAATGTGCAGTCTCACCACCCTCCAAAAAAACTATTTAGGAGACTAAATACTTGAATTTAGTATTCAAGTCTATGTTCACACAGGAACAATGACCAAAAAAACAAAAAAATGCAGAATATTACAGTAATTTAGTATCATTACAGAAAACCATTTCCAACAGACATTAAAATTCATACCATAATCATCATAGAACGGCAAGGTAGCTAGACATATTTTAATTTTCTTTTTTTTTTGGTACCTGGGATCGAACTTGGGTCCTTGCGCTTGTGCAGCAGGCAGCGAAACCACTGAGCTAAATCCCCAGACCATTTTAATTTTCTTTTATAAACAATACTACCTTTAAATGTAAAAATAGCTGATAAAAGCACAAATTGTAGGGAGGCAGTGAATTTAGGAAAAGATGAAATAAAGTTAACTAATTTTATCTCATAAATCAGGCATTTCTGCACACTCAGTGAACAGGCAGTTTGGGATATAGGAAGAAGCAACCACTAGAATGAGAAAGTACAGTCAAAACACACAACAATCTATTATAAAGCAATGAGAATGAACAAACTGTAGCTTCATGCAAAGCCATGGATGAAGATCATAATACTGAATGACGTAAGTGTGTATAATATAAGATTCCTTCTAGATAAAGTTCAAAATGGGCAAAATTGCATAGTCAAGATAGTATTCACCTTTGAAAAGTGACAGAGCACAAGAAGAGACATCTGGAATACTGGTTATAATCCGTTTCTTGATTTGGATCCTTTCATTTAGTGAAAACTTATTAAGTTGTACACTTAAGACTTTATGTAAATTTACCAAAAGCATGCGTGTGGACACAAACACACATACACTGACTAGTAATGTAACAACATCCAATCCAAACAGACCATTAGAAGTACTACACCTGTACTTGAAATAAGGATTACCCAGCCTTAAAAAGAGATTATCTATAAATGATACAAAATCTTCAAAAACAACTTGGTTAATGCCATTTTATTTTTGGTACCAGGGATTGAACTTGGGACCTTGCGCTTGCAAGGCAGGCGCCGGAACCACTGAGCTAAATCCCCAGCCCCTAATGCCAATTTTTTTACACATATTCAACGTAAACCACTCAATCCTAAAACGACTCAAAACATTTTTTAAAGGATTTGGTTAGAGTAAAAGCAAAAAAAGTTGCTCCAAGTACAGCTTTACTTTACTGTTTTTTTTTGGTACCGGGGATCGAACTCCGGTCCTTGTGCTTACGAGGCAGGTGGTGGAACCACTGAGCTAAATCCCTGGCCCTACTCAAAACATTTTTAAAAACTAGATTTCCCCCTCCCCCCAAAAAAGCAAGCTGCATTCCAATAGAATTAGAGACATTTTACTTAACAGTTTACTGACCTCTAGTGACTTGCTTTCATACTCTTTCATGGCAGTAATACACTGGTGCTTGGTGCTGATGTTAGTGCTGGCTCCAGCTTTGACCATAGTATCTGTACCAGTTGGAGGCTACAAGAAAAAGTAAAGTACAGCTCAATGACAGCACTTGGCTGGCATACATGAAGCTTTGACTTTGATACCCAGTAGTGGAGAAAAAACCCTATATAGATGCTTTATTTTTCTTTTGGTACCGGGGATCTCGGGGCCTTGCCCTTGGGAGGCAGGCAGCGGCACCACTGAGCTAAGTCCCTGGCCCAAAGGAACATTTCTAAATCCAAGCTTTATATACCTACTCTAACAGACACAATTCCTCAACCACTGAAGGCTGAAACCAGCCTCCTAGCTCTTTTATAACATATGGGCATGCACCAATAGTCCCACCTATTTGTGAGGCTAGGTAGGAGGACTGATTTTTAACCAGGAGTTCAAGATCAACCTGGGCAAAACAGCAAAGTCCTAACTCAAAAAAAGAAAAGAAAAAACAAGACCAAGATGGCTTTAAGAGGGCTTGATTAAATATAACACATTTCAGAGGTGGGTGTGGTGGCTCACACCTATAACCAGAGCTTTCTTGGAGGGTGAGGTAGAAGGATCACAATTTCCAGCCCAGCCCTGGCAACTAAGTGACTTAGGGAGAGAGATCCTGTCTCAAAACTGGGGTGGGACGCGGATGGACCACCTGGTGATACAGATTAGTGTGAAGGCCCTAGGTTCAATCCTCAGTACTACAAAAAAAGAAAAGAAACAGGTACAAAACCTTTCTTTTCTCCCATAGCCTTACAAGGAAAAAGGCACAATAAGATCTAAGGATTCCTACTCTATTGTCAATTTTCTAAACTATTATACTTTTTTTTTGTACTGGGGATCGAACTCAGGACCTTTGCACTTGCAAGGCAGGTGGCGGCACCACTGAGCTAAAGCCCCAGCCCTCAACTATTATACTTTTAACATACAATATATTGGGGGGGGGGGTTGGTACCGGAGATCGAACTCGGGTCCTTGCGCTTGCAGGGCAGGCAGCAGAACCACTGAGCTAAATCCTCGGCCCCAACATACAATATTTTTTACTATCACTGATATTTAACTTTAAATTCAGGATTCTAAATTTAGTATTATGAATTAATCACCTTAGTGAAAAATTCTTCATTTTCTAAATTTTAACAGCAAACTCTACCAAGCTCGCTCTATTTCTGCCAGAGATTTCCATTAGACTTAATACACCTCCTGGTTACTCTAAGTATCTGCCTAACCATTTACATCAAATAATATTCCATATATTTTTATGAACAAAATCCTCCACTTAACCCTGCCCCCCCCCCCAAAAAAAAACCCAGAAATTTTTTGGTACCTTTTCCATTTCACCAATAAAAATTTTATTTTTTAGCACATACAGAATATTGACTGGTTATTTTATATTATCTCCTTAAAGAGGTATTATTTTCAATGATTTTTCTATGGTTTGCCCCTATTTATTTTTCTTTTTTTTTTTTTTGTACTGGGGATTGAACTTGGGACCTTGCGCTTGCGAGGCAGGCGGAACCACTGAGCTAAATCCCCAGCCCCCCCTATTTATTTTTCTATATAAAGAATGGCCAGCCAGGCATGGCAGGCGCACACCTGCAATCCCAGCACTCCGGAGGCTGAAGCAGGAGGATCACTGTGAGTTCAAAGCCACCCTGAGCTACTTAGTGAGTTCAAGGTCAGCCTGAACTACATATAGTGAGACCGTGTCTCAAAAAAAGCAAAAAAAAAGTTAACCTGAGGCCAAAGTATGAACATAGAAAATTCAAATTCTATCAACCTTATGAATACAAATTTTGGGGGGGTTAGCATAATTCAAATACTTACAATAATCTAGATTTATGTTTTATAACCTCCTATCCATAACTATTAAAAGATTTTGTTTTTAACACATCTTTTAGGAAGTCAAACCAAGCTGTGCCCAACTGGGTAGATGAGCAATTTTACAAGTCATCCTACAAGTATACAAATGAGGAAGAAACATATTCCACAAAGAGTGGAAGAAATACATACGTTAAATTTAATAGTAGTCCCAGTAGGTGCTGCTGTGAAACTACTTGGCCCAAAGAGGGACCCAGATGTGCTACCGAAAGGATTAGAATTAGTATTTGTAGTTCCAAAAAGTCCTCCACTGCTAGTACTTGTTCCAAAATCTGTAAGTTAGAAAATAACATGAAAATTAAACAAAGAACTGAAGAATCTATAAAATCCCCTTAGAACTGGAATATGACACTAGCAACAGTACTTTCACATCCCCAAACCCTCTTCCAACTCTCCCAAGCAACACATTCAAGTAGATATTTCACACAGACATATACTTCTAAGCTCATAACTTTCAAGAGCCAAGTTAAAAACCAGTCTGTCCTTTAGTCAGATAAGTGTTCAGGAAGCCCTGCTTGGACCTTCTAAGAGGCAAATATAAAGAAACACTACTTTGTTTCATCAAAATTTTATCTCATTTCTCCTTTTCTTATTTGGTAACACTAGCTACTGAAATAAACTGTCTCTCTGAAAACATCTTGCCACGACAGACTTCAACAGGGATCATAGTATGTTTTATTTACATGTATTATTACACATACCCACATATAACCAAAGAATATAGGTCCCATTGTGGCAATCAAACATAGGTCAATGCAATATTTGACTCCCCAATCAAAATTTTAAAACTTACTAAGCACTGCTGATCATTTAATAGAAATGAATACAGAAATAGCAGATTCTGATTGGCTTACTTTTCAAAAAAAGCTGAGGCTTAATATAATTATCACATACAAGTGAATTTAACTGTTATATAGGGCCTATTCTTTCTCACAATGAGATGCTACTTCCCAAGTTATACATAGGGAGGCAGAATATCAGCAAGCAAGAAAAACACACTTGCCAGTATTTAATAAAGTGACCTAATTGCCAATATTGTGACTCCTCATTGAAAATTTCTATTTTTCTAAGAACATATCATAAAATACAGTTTAAATAGGCATATCTCATTTGAATTAGTTCCTTGGATTGCATTTTATATGTCATGATTAAATATTTCAATATCCAACAAACAACTAACCCTTTGAAAAAATATGTATAGCTGGTTGATTACTCATGCCACCATTCATTCACTTGTGCTAGAAGTGGCATCACTTCATTAGGGCATATCTGCTCAATTAATAGTGGTTACCTCAAAGTACTGTGTGAAGAAGTGGCCCCAGGCCACATTTGAACTTAAATAGAGGCCATCAATTATAACATCTGCCACAGATAAGGAATGGAGAAGCAATCATGCCATGTCCAGTATTTGTCATTTCTGGTCGAATCTCTTCATAACAAATGTGAGACAGATAAAAATGTGCCTCTGCTTCACATACTACTGACTACAACATACTCCTCCTTGGTAATTTTCATTGTATTATGTTAACACTACTCTGACCTGGCTTTTCATCCTATCTCTGGATACTTTCTATCTCTTCCAGTGCATATTCTTTAAGTATTAATGCTTCTCAAATCTCCATTCTTAGAGGGTCGGGGATTTAGCTCAGTGGTGCCATCACCTGACCCTCGCAAGTGCAAGGTCCCAAGTTCGATCCCTGGTACCAAAAAAACCCCTCCATTCTTAGAGAGATGTACATACCACCCTCCTTTCCTATTAAACTTTGCAATATACTTTGAAATTCTCATCTTCTCATTATTTTTGCAATTTTCTGGGAAAAGGAGATGGGTGATCACAGGGAAAGGGGAAAGACATAACACATTCAATAAATAAATCAAACTGTTAGGGGTACATGTCCAATAATGTTCTACTTACTCCCGAAGCCACTTGGTTTATTTTGTGGAAAGGCATTGCTTTGGGATGAGAAAAGACTGGTCCCTGTGCTTGCAGTTCCAAACAAGCTATTTGACGTTCCTGTTGATGTACCAAACCCAAAGCCAGTGCTTGTGGAGGTAGCTGGCTGGCTAAATGAATTAGTACCAAATAATCCTCCTGGAGACATGGAGGGAGAGAAAACAAGTTAAGCAGATCAGAGTCATTAAGTACAGAGAGACCTGTATCAGCTATCACTCAAATAAAGCCTTTACCTGGTTTGGTCTGTGAATTTCCAAACAGGCCTCCAGTATTGGTGCTAGAGCCAAATGCAGATGTTCCGAATGCCCCTCCAGCAGTGGTGCCAAAGCCAGTATCTGAAAAGGAAATTCAAGGATGAATCAGAATGTAGAAAAGTTACTGAATAAAAAAGGTTTTAATATTTCTCAACTTTTTCAAAATTTCAACAGAGTATCATAGGATAAAATCTAAACTGTAGATATTATATTCATAGCCATAGGGGAATATGGAAACTTGAAGTGACAAGGTGTGAATTCTCCGGTGGGGATGTAGCTCTAGCTCAGTGATGGAGTGCTTGTCTAGCATGCATGACACCCTGGGTTTGATTCCCAGTACGGAGGCGGAATGCTGACTTTTCAAACTAAGTATGAGGTTGTATGCATACAGTGGCAGCTACTTCCTCCTGCTGAAGCAGAATTGCTTGAGCCCAGGAGTTCAAGGGCACCCTGGAAAATATAGCAAGATTAAATTTTAAAAAGTGGCTTTATCAATAAAACTTATAGATTGTTTTGTTTTATGGCAAGGTCTCACTATGTAGTTCAGGCTGGCCTTAAACTCACTATGTAGCTCAGGCTGGCCTCAAACTTACAGTGATCTTCCTGCCTCAGCCTCATGAGTGCTGGGATTACAGGCATGCGCCACTGCACCCTGCTTGTTTTGTCTTCTGAGGCAGGGTCTCACTATGTAGCTTTGAACTCAAAGTGATCCTCCTGCCTCAGCCTCCCAAGTTCTTGAATTATAGGTGTGATGCCGGACATAGATGTTGACATAGCCATTGACCTAAGTGTGGTGCCTGGCGTAGATGCTCGTTCCCCTGAGGCAGGAAGACTGCAAGTTCAAACCCCATCTGGGCAACTTAGTGACTTAGTGAGACCCTGTCTCAAATAAAAAGTAAAATAAGAGGTGGAGATATAGGTAAATGCAAAGGCCTTAGATTCAACCCCCAGTACAAAAAAAAGTTGCCAAAGTAAAGATGTAAGTACATGAGAGTCCATTATACCATGTTTTCTGCCTTTGTGTAAGAGTGCGCACGCGCGTGTGTGCTTGCATATGTGTGTGTGTGTGTGTGTGCGTGTGTGGTTTTGTTTTTGTTTTGATTTTTGTGGAACTGGGAATTGAACCCTAGGCATTTGCTAAATCAGATCTTTTTAAAATTTGGGGACAAGATCTTGCTAAGTCACTATACCCAGGCTGGGCTTGAACTTGTGATCCTCCTACTTCAGCTTCCCAGAATGCTAGGATTACAGGTATCTACCAGCACACCAGGCATAAGCATAAAATTTTTTAACAAAAGGTTGAAAAGTGAGTAAAGATTTGTATAGGCAATTAGTGCTATATATAACACAAGGTAGAAAGGGTGGTGGGTCTCCAGAAGGCTGATTGTGATTTTGAATTTTCTTAATTTCATGCATTTTATTTACAGAATAAATCTCACAGCAGTTATTCAATAATTTCCTTTTATACCTCAATATTAAAAAAAATATTTTCTGGTCTGAAAATTGGTAGTAAATTATGACTTTCTGTGAACAGAACCAAATAATACAAATATTTTAAATATTTTTATTCATAACCAGAAAGGTATGAAAACTAAGAACATTTCTCTTTTCTTAAAAAATTTTAGCAAGCTCTTACCTTGGTCATTTTTCAGAGACTCTGTTGTAAAGACCAAAGTATAAATACAATTCCCATCTAAAGCTACCAGAATAGATTTGTTCTTAATAAGACACATCTAATTAAGATGGTTTCTTTCACCTTTTGTTTTTTTTTAAACTTACTCTGTCCAAATGTTGAAGTTGTGCCAAAGCCACTTGTGCCACCCCCAAAGGGGGTTCCAAATGATTTGTTAAACATCTTCAAAATGAGTTTTTCCTTCAGAAAGCTAGAAAGAAGAAGAAATTACCACTTTTTAAAAAGACTACAGAATGTAATTGTTTTTAAAAAATCTCTGTCTACAAACTTAATCAGGTCTATACATATTATGGCATTATATACTTTCAATACCGTGAAATTTATATGATAAAATAAATCTTATAAAATCCTCTTTAATCTATACAGTCTTAAACTGACCAGGGCCATAATAATAGGTTAAACTTCACATACAACAACAACCATTCCTTGGGATTAATATGAGAAAATGGAAAAATAGGAACAAAATCTTTGTAAATAGGGAGGACTGGAAGGGTTGAAGGGAGGGCTGGGCAAGGGTGAAAAATAAGAACCAAGAGAGATTATGTAAAGGTGCAAATTTTCAATGATGAATGTCATTACAATGTATACCTAAAACGTACCAATGATTAGAATGAATAATCAATAATGCAAAATAGGAAGAAAAGGTCCAAAGGGGTAGGGGTAGTGGGAGGGACAGAGGAAAGGAAAGAAGGGAAAGGAAAAATGATGAGAAATGGAAATAAAGTCTTTGTAAATAGGGAAGGGTGGAGGGGGTGAAGGGAGGGCTAGGAATGGGGAGAAAATAAGAACCAAGATCCATCATGTAAAGGTACAATTCCCAGTGAGAAATGTAATTGTGTTGTATACCTACAATGTACCAATAAAAGAATTTAATACAAAAAAAAACAAAAAACAACAACCATTCCTTTAAAACAATGATTTTTGGCTTTTTTCTCCACTACTGGGTATCAAAGTCAAAGCTTCATGTATGCCAGCCAAGTGCTGTCATTGAGCTGTACTTGGAGCAACTTTTTTTTGCTTTTACTCTAACCAAATCCTTTAAAAAGATTTCAAGTCCACTAGGCTAGATTTTACATAATCCACCTAGGAGGTTATGCATTATACTCATCAAATATTACAACCACATTCCACATCCCCAAATACCTGAAATGCTAAAATCTTTGTCAAGCTTTATTTCCCATAGTTTGTTATAAAAAATGGTTTTTTCCTAATTTTTGGATATTAAATATTGTAATAATAAATGTTTGCCGAATTACAGATGCTCCTCCTCTCATCTCCAAATCCCGAGGGTCTAGTACCATGACGTTTTCTTTGAGATTACTTAAGATCGGGCCAGGGATTTAGCTCAGTGGTTCTGCCGCCTGCCTCACAAGCACAAGGACCCGAGTTCGATCCCTGGTACCAAAAAAAAATAAATGGTTGAGAGAGATTACTTAAGATCATTCTCTATGGTCCTCTATCTCCTACTTCTGAGAATATTACAGAAAACCTTTGATGAAAGTCTCTCATTTCATATATATTATTTTCCCACAGTATTGAAACTACAACCTGGTCGCTTAATAAAGTGGACCAAACTGTTCCAACTACAGAGGGGTTTGGGCTTTTCCCACTATGATTTGAATAAAAACAAGTTAACAGTATAGTTTATTCAAAAATAAGGGCTTTTCCCCTCCAAATTTTCTTTAAAGATGTCTGCTGCCAACCTTGTGCCTGTGAGGCAGACGGCGGCACCACTGAGCTAAATAAATCCCCAGCCCATTTTTTTTTCAAATGTTCTTTTTTTTCTTTCTTTTTGTTTTTTTTTTGGTACCAGGGATTGAATTCAGGACCTTGAGCTTGCAAGGCAGATGCAGTGCCACTGAGCTAAATCCCCGGCCCTGTTTTTGTTTTTGAGACTGGGTCTCACTATGCATTTCAGGCTGGCCTTAAACTCACGATGTAGCCCAAGCTGGCCTCAAACTTGAAGCAGTCCTCCTGTTGCAGCCTCCTGAGTCCTGCAATTACAGGTGTGCACCACCACACCTGGCTTAGAAAATCCTGAATAAGCTATTTTCTTATATTAAACCTGAAAACCATGCTTATTTGGATTGTGACAAGTATGATTTTTTTCTACTATGAACACATATTGGAATAGTCTTTCCTTCCAGTAAAATCATGCCTCATTCATATAATACAATTAAAAATTAAATTTTGAGGTGCTCTTCTTGACAATATTCTAGAGTCCCATTAACACTTCCAAGTGCTGTGACACTCAAACATTTTGTGCACCCTGGAAAAGGTGAGGCTGTCCCTTAAATATGTGATGCTTTAAAAGAACATGGATATTGTCCACTCTAAAATTCCAGGGGAGGAGGAACCTCAACAGTTTTTTCTTCATCATCTAGGAACTGAATAATATCTTTGATTAAACAGAGCTCATTCAAACCAGGAATTTTAGAAATTCACATCAGAATTAGCTGGCAAAATTTTCAATATACAATCCCCCCAGGCCCTATTCTAGAAATAGTGAACCGAAACATCTGGGGTGGGATACACATTTGCACTTTGAAAGAGCTCAAAACTTTAAAGCATGTCCTCAAAACTAGAGGTTACATTTCAAGTAATCATCATTTATCTTTCAGTAATGAGATCTGCTTTAAGTTTCCTGCCTTTCCAAATTATGAAATGTCACAAAGTGACAGATCAAGTCTTTACCTTTGTTTCTTTTGGTTTCTTGAGACAGGATCTTGCTATGTATTTCAAGCTAACCTTGAACTCACCGTGTAGTCCCAGCTGGCCTGGAACTCCCAACTACTCTGCTGCCTCAGCCTAAATTCTGGGATTACAGGCCTGCACCACCACGCTTAGGACCTTTACCATTATTAAATGGTGGCTTCTGTTCCAGGGGAAATATTTTTGAAAGTGCTTACCAGAAGTGAAAACATCCAGCCAGGTAGGATGGCACATAACTATAATCCTAGCACTCAGGAAGCTGAGACAGGAAGATGACCATGAGTGGGAGGCCAGCGTGGGCTACACAGTGAGTTTAAGGCCAGCCTAAACACAGCAAGACCCTATCTCAAAAAGGGGAGGGGGGCATTTTCCAGGTCCCCTTCTGTCTCTCTTAGATAGGAGCTGTCTATCCCTCAAAAAATTATTTCCTACTCTTAACTTCCCATTGTTCCTAGAATTCATTCTTCAATTTTAGAGAACACAAACTCAGCATATCAGATAACTAACAGGTTGGGAATTACATCTATTTCCCCCTGTATCATCCCTAGATCATTTTGGAGGCTGCAGCAAGATAACTGGAAGGAGCTTTGTAATACTGGTTGGAACTTCTAGAACTATTATGATAAAGAAGAAAAGCTGACATCTTTGCCTGGTATCTGATCTTAGAGCGAAAGCATTCAGTTTTACACGTCCTCCTCCACATCATCTGCCCAGACGTGCACTTGTGAGCTTCCTTGTGGAGTGGCAGTTTCCAGATTGTTAACATGACAGACAAATGCTTTAAGAATGAGTATTACAGCACATTAATCAATGCTGCCCTATTCATTATAGCCTTGTACTGAAAATGATAGTATATCAAGATGACGGAATATAATAATAAGGCAAGAAAAGGAAAATAAAAATCAGAGAGAGATGAAGCTATTTCTAGATGACATGACAGCCTAGACAATTTCAAAGAATCTGCCCATAAAACCCCCCCAAAATCCTACACCTATTGATTCAAACAAAGTGAGAAGATAAATTCACAAGTCAATAATATTTCCATATATTACTAATTAAATTATGTATTACACAATCCCACAAAACTATATAAGCATACATATTGCCATAATTCTTCATATTTACATATTACCAATAATTTCAGCATGAAATCTGAAAATACGTAAAATCATTCAAAAAATTAAATTCTTATGTGTAATTTAACCAAAGTGCCCAAGATTTATACACCAAAATCTACAAAATGCTAAGAAATCTAAGTAGAATGAGTTGATGTTAATATACTCAACATAGGAAACATGTCAATTTGTTACAAATTCATATATAAGTTTAATAGAATTTTTACCTCAATTAAAATGTTTTAAAGATGTAAACAAAATTATAAAATATGTATGGAAAGTAAAAAAAATAACATAGCTAAAATAATTCTTTTTCTGGTACTGGGGATTGAACTTGGGACCTTGCACTTACAAGGAAGGCGGCAGAACCACTGAGCTAAATCCCCAGCTCCTAAAATAATTCTGAAAAATAATGAACTAGGAGAGATCACTCCACTTTCAGTGCCATTTATTTATATTAGTTATGGTTCTCTAAAGGGATGGAATCAATATATGTATTTAGTTATGCAGAGGATTTATTAAGTAACCTTACAGGATCAGAGGTGGAAAAGTCCACAATGGCCACCTGCCCTCTAGGAAACCAGAGGATGCAGAATCTGTGCAGCCCAAGAAGACTGAAGCTGCCAACCAAGAAGGATCAAGAATACAGAACCGGGCCAGGGATTTAGCTCAGTGGGTCCGCTGCCTGTCTTGCAAGCACAACGTCCCAAGTTCGATCCCCGGTACCAAAAAAAAAAAACAAAAAAAAACAACCAGAGAATACAGAACTAGTCCAGTGATCTGAAAGCTCACTGGAGAGTCACTGCATGTAGTAGGTCTACATTGGAAGGCTCAAGAAATTGGAAACCTGGAGATCAATGCCCAAAAGTGACAGAAACAAACCGTCCATACTTAAGAATAATGGAGTTCTTGGCCGGGGATTTAGCTCAGTGGCACGGTGCCTGCCTTGTAAGCGCAAGGTCTTGAGTTTGATCTTCGGTACCACACACACACACAGAAGGAGCTCTTCAAAATGGTTGCATTTCCTTCTTCTTCCTTCCCAGTTTGGTGGCCTACATGCCAGTCATATACAGACGTATGCAGAACCATGCTTATGGTACGTATTCCTCACTCAGGTCAAGTTGACATATAAGTTAATGGTCACAATCCTCCCCTTGTCAACTTGTCAGCCAGGCACAGCTCCTTAAAACACTTAATCTAATATAATAGCAATTCATAATTATGCCTAATACAACAGAACTATCCAGCTTACAAAAATATGTACATATTACAAAACATACATAGCATATAGTATATAACATGTCTTATGTACATGTGGGTGATATATAATATATATAATGCATCATACAGAATATCCATGATT